TTTAGAAAACTTAAAGCCATTTCGTTCGGACCCATCAGAGCTGCAACTGTCTCTCAGTCGTGTGCAGATTTCTACCCCGACATGATACATTAAAATCATCAACAAATAATGACCCATCAACAGAGTCATTTAACACTTTCGATAAACTATTTATTTTGATTATGATGACAATATGTGTATTGATAAGATAATAATTATAATTGATAATTTGTATATTAATAATATTGATAAGATGACAATATACTATGCAACCTAATATATGTATTCAACACAGATATAGAAACATTGTTAGGTTACCCAGTGTGTACTCAACACAGTAATTCACATATGTAATAATTGGATACAGTGGTAGTCTAAACGTTTCGACGGTCAACAGCAGTCATTACAGACAGCTATTCGATCTTCAATATTAGACACTGAGGGTTGTACAGACGGGTACATGATGTCGAATTAAAATATTAAAATCATAAACAACCATTACGAAACAATAGTAGCGGAATTGCATACGTAGTAAATAATTTATGTCTTGTTCAAATAAGGTGATCCGACAATAAGAGTGAGTGAGTGAATGAGTTAAGGTTTAGCGTCACATCGACAGTATTGCAGCCATATCGTGACGAGAGCAACTTGATTTATATCAATATTAAAATCAATAAATTTAGAATATAAAAAAACCCTGTCATCAAAGGACAGTAAAAATACTAGATTATCACAGCTCTTAATTTAAAACTAGTATGCTTTCATAAAAATACATCACTAGAGACAACAGTACAAAGTAAAAACGGGCTATAGATCACCAGCAACTGACCGGGTATTGGACGTTTATCCCTTTTTGTTAAAAGTAAACAATGGCATCGTGCTGTCTAGAGATAAGTATTTGTGATTCCAAAGTTCACTGGAATAACACTTGGAATGAAAAGTGGCGGTGAAGAGTGTACTGATGGAAATCAATGAGGATTTTGTGTCGAATCTGCATTACACATTAAGTAAACATTAACTATAGTAAACAATCGTACAGTGTTTATTGAGAGAATATCCCAAATTATTGCACAGGAAAAATACTACAAACATTAGTTATTCATTATTATTATTGTCGTTCTCGCCACAACACATTTCGGTTGGCATGGAAACATCATTAAACAATGCGATGTTAATTGCTTCATTCTGTGTGTATATCAATCACTTAGTGGGGACCTTTCAATACGTCATATGTTAACAACTGAAACCTACCCATAGAGTGGTTTTAAAAGCCCTATCATGTTTTATGTATTTAACAAATCAGACTGAAAAGGCTGTATTTGCTGTTGACAAAGCGATTGATCTTACTCAGCTGTGTTCTATATAGATTAATGGTGGATGCTGACGGGAGTGCTAACACGAGGCTGTTTCCTTTAAGTGGGTTAGTGAGTGAGAGAGTTCATATTTAGCGTCACCTCTACACTATTGCAGCCATATCGTTACGAGAACAATTTAAGTTATATCAATATCAAAATAAATATTTAGAACGTAAAAACCTGTCATCGAAGGACAGTACAAATACTAGATTATCACAGCACTTAATTTAAAACAAGTATGCTATCATAAAAATAACTCACTGAGACAACAGTACAATATAAAAAGTGGGCTATAGACCACCAGCAACTGAAGGATGATCACCAAACTAGGTGAGGTGAGGTGATATGGGGTTTAACGTCGTGCTTGAGAATATTTCGCTCATATGACGACTTGCATGCGTGTGTATGTGTATATGTGGTTGTTTGTACTAGCCCAGACATAAGCTGGTTTTATAGTGCTAGCCTACTGAGATACCATGCCGCAGTGAAGCATGAATACCCCACTCAGACACATTAGAGACACTCTGAGCCGACCAGTCCTTGTTGTACCCATTAATGCCGAACGCAAGGCAGGGACCAACAAGTAACATATTTTAACGTCTTGTGGTATGGCGCGGTCGGGGATCGAACCCGCGACCTACCGCTCTCCGGGCGGACGCTCTAACCACTACACCACGGAGGCGGTCCACCAAACTAGGGTGAGTGAGTTAATATTTATGGTCACGTCGGCAATATTTAAGCCATAATGTGACTTGAAAAGTTGTAAATTAACAATAAATGCAATGAAATTATGAAAATCATGTAGACGAAGGACAGTAAAATAACAAGAGTTTCACAGTTAAAAAGTCAAAAGTAGCAAGGAACTTTTAAGATTAGAGAAATAGTACAGACAATACAATATAAAAAAGTGTTTGCCACTGATATGGTAATTTCCCCCGCCGCTAAAGAAGAATGGAATATTTATTCATATTTAGTACTTTATATTGGTCACTTTTTTTGGTCACATACAAGATGCCTGAAATGACTGGTGTCTGCATAATCACCCTTTGTAGGCTGTTGCCATAATTGAAGACATTGGGTGCAATGTTTTATGAGATATCGCATATGCGTACGTTTGAAAAGAAGTCAAAGTGTGATGGTGATCTTGGAGATAAGGTCAAGGTCACCCATATCGACTGGTGTCAGCGTAATCTCCCAATGTTAGCTGTCACCAAATTTGAAGACATTGTGTACAGCAATGCATGAGATATCACGTTAACAAGAGTTTGAAAAGTGGTCAAAGTGCCATGATGACCTTGAAGATAAGGTAAAGGTCACCCAACTCGACCGGTGTCTGGGTAATCCTCCAATGTTAGCTGTCACCAAATTTAATAACATTGGATACAACAGTCAGATATCACGTTAACAAGAGTTTGAAAAGTGGTCAAAGTGCTGTGGTGACCTTGAAAATAAGGTCAAGGTGACCAACAGTTCATAAGATATCGCGTTAACAAGAATCTGGACGTACGGACGGACGCCGCTGAATACGTAGACCCCCGTTTCGTGTTGCAGCAGGTGACACAAAACGAGCTAGAGATCATCAGCAACTGAAGGTCGATCACCATGCTAGGGAACATGCGGACCCACGGTACTTTGGCTACATGCATAGACCCCAGCTGGATTTACACCATCCCTTCAGCCGTTGGTGATTGTAGGTATATTTAGCCATAACTTAAACTGACAAAAATGCTACGTTTTAAAATATTCAGTAAGCTTAATTTATCTTGAATGTTTTGGGACTTACGCATCCCCACGGGATCACCATACTGGGGACCATGGGGATTTACAGTACTTTTGATACCTGCATGGATTTACACCATCCCTTCAGCCGCTGGCGATTGTTGGAAACCTTTAGCCGTAATTCGAAAGAACAAAACTACTGCGTTTAAAAATCTGGTAAGCTTAAATTTAACGTTTCCTTTAAGACCTCACTGAACACTCCCTTGTCAGTTTGAAGCTAATGCGAACAAAGAATTCACAAATAGTTTATTATCTGTCCACATTATCTCTTTGGCAGCACTGTGACACAGTGACAGCGTTCAGATTCATGAATTGATTCATGCTGGTATTGAGTCATGTAGATCTTCTTACATGATCATATTTATATAGAGGTAATACTTTCTACATTTCATGTTAAGCACAGTATATACATGCCCATTTGTCTCAAACGCTGTGCAATGTAGACACTAACGTTTGAACCTATATTTTATGAATTTGAGTGAGTGAGTAAGATTAGTTTTACGCCACGCTCAGCAATTTTCCAGGTAATTAGCGGCGCTCTTTAAAAAATCCAGTTTGGATCAGACAATCCAGTGTTCAACAGCACAAGCATCGATCTACGCAACTGGCACACAATGACAGCGAGTCTGATCACCCGATCCCGTTAGTTGCCTCTTATGACAAGCATGGGTTACTGAAGATCAATTCTAACCCGGATCATCACGAGAAGAGGGCACTGGATGGAATAGATGCTAATGGCAACATGTACGTACATACCCTCATCCTGTATTAGCCGCAACAAGAACTAAGCCAGACATAGTCTCACCCAGTTGTCCAGACAATCTTTACATAATGTAATCTCAAGACATAAACATCAGTACAAAGTCAAATGTGAGATGACGACACAATGCAATTTATTGCAAATACTAAAAAAGCTAAGGAACATTATGTTACCGTTCTTCTTGTCATTTCCACTCATGTAAGGGGGTAATTTTCATAAACAACAGCACCCTGGTTTTCAAGGGCATTCTGAACCTCAGAACGGCTGTATCGAGTTAATTTGTATCTGTCAACCTATGTACTTTTTACAGTGAATGTAACCGAGGATATATGAAAAAGGTAATCTAGAAAAAAATAGAAAGCTCAGCATTGTGAAACAAACGTCATTTCTAATGAGTTTAACTCTTCGTTTCAAATACAGTTTCAAGACTATATTCATTGAAATATAAGTGTTGGTATCTTTTCTTAAAATAGCATCATCCTAAAAAAGTGCAAACCAATTAGCAATTACACAACACGATTATTTATATACGATTACTTGTCACACAACATGCGAATAGAAACGATTTGAAGAAATGATAAACCAAACCATACGTCTAACAGTGAGTGAGTGAACTTGGTTTTACGCCTCTTTTAGCAAATATTCCAGCAAAAGCACGGCGGGGGATACCAGAAATGGGCTTCACACATTGTACCCATATGGGGAATCGAAACCGGGGCCTTCGGTGTGACGAGCGAACACTTTAACCGCCCCACTGCCCCATACGTCTAACAAATAACAGATATACATGTATTTAACATTAAATGATAACTTTCCTTAAAACGGTTAAAAAATGAGGAATAAAAAGTTATAGGAAAAACATTATCGATCCTGTTTCTAAAAACATGCAAAACATGATGTTCAAGAAACTGTCGCTCAGAAGACAAATGACCTGCTGAGCATGTGTGCACACTCGCCATTCACACAAATTGCATTTGCAAACCGTATCAATGTCTCACGTCCCACAACAGGACTCCTCAGAAAGTGTCAAAAGAAACTACTATCACAAAATCGTTATCCAATAGGTTATCATTTGAAGATACAACCCAAAGGTGTATGACAATTCCTGCTGGCTTCTCCTTGATTTCCTACAATATAATGAAGCCCATCAGAGCACTGGTCAAAATGGTAAAGATGAGCAAGGAAATATAGAAACAAGTTATGTCCATGTTGTCACTAAGACATTTCAAATACGTACATTCATCTCTGTCATTTACTTCGTTCTGTTCCTTGGATTCCTCTTCTGTAAGTTGTCGGATTCGTTTGGTACGAATCATCTTCCCCATTTTGGCCATAAAACGTGTCGCCTTGTTGTGTGCTTGCATATGGCTGACACGTTGGATGAATATACAGCAGATGACGTACAGGCCACTCAGATGGAGCTGGACACACACGTAAAGGGAGATAAGCGAGGCGCTAGAGGATGTTTGAGGGAGCATACCACTGATAAGTGTTACAAAAACTGTGAAAGATAAGAAAAGGGTGATCGAAATGGACAGTTTCTCGCCTGTTTCCGCCTTGACCAGGAACACGAACGGGTTGAGTGTGGATATAATCAAGATTGGCAGGACAAGATTCACCACATAATACAGCGACTGTCTCTTCAGGCTGATGGAGACGCTGAACCAGTGAAGATTATACATGCGTGTCAGCTCACTTTCATGCTGGCTCTTTATTTGTAACACTTCCCATTCTGGACTTTCAACGAGGGAGAATTCATTTGCCTCGAAATATGATATATATAATTCACTTAAGAAATAGTTATCCGAGCCAATTACAACTTTGCATTCATGGTGATCAAATGGGAAGGCAGTAATGACAATCTTGCAAAATGTCTGTGCTTTCACTTCAACGTCAAACCTCGCACTCCCATCGCTGGTTACGATAACTGGTAGTTCATCAGAGCCGAGGTATGGAACATAAGCAAGTGTGTCCTGGATTACAATATTTGGCGTCCAGATCTTGTTCCGCTGAAATCTCAGATGTGTAGTATTCGAGTACTCAGTGGGATTCCACTGAATCAGTTCATCAACCCATTCGAAAGTCAGCCAAAGATGGCTGGTGAAAACTCCCTTCACCACATCAAGTCTTTCTATACTGATCAGTTTGAAAGTCACATCCACATAAGTGGGGTCCGAGAGGTTTTGGAGTGGTAGGAACCATGGGTTATAGTTCTGGAGCAGAGACGAGTGAAGTTCTCGAACATTCCCATTTTTGTTAGGCATCACTGATGGAGACAGCAGTATCAGCAGCGTGAACGTGCTTATGAACCACATCACGGCTTGCATGTCCAGTTCTGTTGAAGGTTGCTTGAACTATGAGGACACAAGCTATACGTTCTCCACACGTTGTGAAGCAAATTACTGACTCCATTAGTATTGGCTGACAATACCATTAGTGCTACAAGACTACGGGGAAATGAACAATCATTCACCATTAAGTACATCTCTTAACTAACGCGCCGAGGTAATATCTACACAAAACATTAGTAAGGAACACGGTTATACTCTTTTATCAAATAAGCTTACACGCCACGAATAAACACCTGCTAAAAGGGTGATGTGTCAGCTGCGGCAGTTTCCTTTCAGATGAGTTATTTGCTATAGTTGGTTAAGCCTGACCAATACCAATGGTTATTAAGTTCCTTTGACGTCATCCTTTGTTTCAGCCATGTCGTGAGAAGAACAATATATTCATTAATAATCAATACATAGAGACAGTTTGAAAACCTGTCGTCAATGGACAGAACTATGAATGTGTAAAGAATAAATCGAGTGACATTAGCTGTACTTATCATGATAGGAAAGTGTGTATACATTAAATTGTTACATACTAAATGTCAATTTGCTGGTCAAACTGTCGTCAGCAAAATTATCTACATGACAAATACATTTGTATGCGTGCACAATCATCAATATGTCAGTGATTTTGGGTTTAGCGCGGTTTATTCTAGTTCAGCTTCAGAAGGAATGAAAACACGAATCAATGCACGCTTTGACGTTTATCACTGTCCCTGAAACCTACGGTATGGTGATGTCAAACGAAAAAACATAAGTATTTTCTTCTGATATCAACAGCAGAACACCCTTCAAAAGGAAAAAAGAATATCTTGGTTACAATTGATCTTCAGCAACCGCTTGTCGTAAGAGGCTACTAACGGGATCGGGTGGTCAGGCTCATTGACTTGATTGGCACATTACAGACAGGTATTCGGTTTTCAATATTTGACACTGAGGGTTTTACAGACGGGTACATGATGTCGAATTAAAATCTTAAAATCATAAACAACCATTACGAAACAATAGTAGCGGAATTGCATACGTAGTAAATAATGTATGTTTTGTTCAAATAAGGTGATCCGACTATTAGATTGAGTCAGTGAATGAGTTAAGGTTTAGCGTCACATCGACAGTATTGCAGCCATGTCGTGACGAGAACAACTTGATTTATATCAATATTAAAATCAATAAATTTAGAATGTGAAAAACCCTGTCATCAAAGGACAGTAAAACTACTAGATTATCACAGCTCTTAATTTAAAACTAGTATGCTATCATAACAATACTTCACTAGAGACAACAGTATAAACGGGCTATAGATCACCAGCAACTGACCGGGTATTAGACGTTTATCCCTTTTTGTAAAAGATTAAACAATGGCATCGTGCTGTTTAGAGATAAGTGCTTTGTGATTCCAAAGTTCACTGGAATAACACTTAGAATAACAAGTGACGGTGAAGAGTGTACTGATGGAAATCAATGAGGATTTTGTGTCGAATTTGCATTACACATTAAGTAAACATTAACTATAGTAAACAATCGTTCAATGTTTATTGAGAGAATATCCCAAATTATTGCACAAGAAAATAAATACTAAAGCACTGTCGGAAATGCTAGAAAAATGCCTTTTAACCTTAATATCTTTATAAAGGTGATAAATGTACTATGTTGTCAATATATCAACTCGCCTATAGTGTACCTAATTTTTATTTCAATCGATTTAACATTCCCATGCATTTAAAGGGCAGTTTACAGGAGAGAAGTTTGTACCAAAACAGCAACTTGAGATTTTTTCAGACTTCAACAACAGAAATCTGAAATAGTCTTTACATTTATGCTAATAATACAGATGGTGTGAAAATATGAATTAACGTTTTTCCTAAACAAATAAATGTTGAATGTCTGTGTTTCTTTACTTAATTATCTTTTCTTTATTGAAGAAATATTAATATAAATGTTAAGTCTTGATAAATAAGTTTCCCGTCATGCATGCACATCTTATCACAGCGTCCACTTTGGCCAACGATTTGCAGTCGATTGTTGCAAAGGTTTATAAGTTTTTTCTGCTTGAAAAAGACAGAGGTAAACCTTTCTTTAGTTTAGAAAGGGTTTATTACAGAACTTGTAGAGCTGTTGGTATGTCTTACCAACAAGTTTACAATATTGTAAATAAATCAGACAAGACAGGGACCGTCTCAAAAGCAAAACCGGGACGTAAAACCATCCTTGAAACTTTGACAAGGGAGTGCTTAGACGGGCGGTCTACAAACTGTATGAGAATAATGATATATATATTCTAAAGAAGCTACACCAGTGACTTGGTTAAATCTTTGGCCAATGTTCACAACTAGATTAAACTGACCGAATTACATCCATATTTTTTCAATGAAATATACTGTTGACATGCAAAACATTTATTAAAACGTTGCACATTTCTACAATCTATCGATAAGATAACACAAGTGATAGGATTCTTTCGAATGTACAGTAATACTTATGTTTATTTCAAAACAAACACACATCCACAAATGATGCCTTACATAACCAGTACGTATACTATACGTACACATATTCAACATTTTGCTGAAAACATCTATTGAGATGACCCCTCGCCCGAGCGTGTACTCAGGTGTCAATTTCACCTGTCGATACCGTGGATGCTGATGACGTAACACAGGCAGTTAATGTTTGTATCAAATAACGTCCCACTACCCCTTATTTTTCTAAGTTTTTGGTATTTTCATCAGTAAACACACATTTTAGAGCATGTCTCAAAATTTATTCCCTCGGTCCACATTAGGTAGATGTTTCTTGAAGTGATATTTGTTATTTAAGTAACTGTAATACCTCTGAATTTTAATTATAAGTCAAAAAGTATTTTTCTAGCATTTCCGACTGTACTTTTAACATTAACATTCAGATATATTTTTGTCTTTCTCGCCACAACACATTTCGGTTGGCAAGGGGAACCATCATTGAACAATTCGATGTGTATCAATCACTTAGTGGGGACCTTTCAATACGTCATATGTTAACAACTGAAACCTACCCATAGAGTGGTTTTAAAAGCCCTATCATGTTTTGTGTATTTAACAAATCAGACTGAAAAGGCTGTATTTGCTGTTGACAAAGCGATTGATCTTACTCAACTGTGTTCTATATAGATTAATGGTGGATGCTGACGGGAGTGCTAACACGAGGCTGTTTCCTTTAAGTGGGTTAGTGAGTGAGAGAGTTCATATTTTAGCGTCACCTCGACACTATTGCAGCCATATCGTGACCAGAACAATTTAAGTTATATCAATATCAAAATGAATAAATTTAGAACGTCATCGAAGGACAGTACAAATACTAGATTATCACAGCTCTTAATTTCATAAAAATATCTCACTGAGGCAACAGTACAATTTGAAAAACGGCCTATAGATATTTCAATATTTCAGCCATATTGTGACTTGAAAAGTTGTAAATTAACAATAAATGCAATTAAATTATGAAATCCTGTAGACGAAGGACAGTTAAATAACTAGGTTTTCACAATTAAAAAGTTGAAACTAGCAAGGAACTTTTAAAGGTCACATAAACCCTAGGGGGTACAAATACATAAATCACTAACTGGCATCGTTATAAATGAAACCTCGTCATTAAAACTACTCATTTCGACCTTTAATTGACTTAAAGCGACCTTTTTGACAACAGTGCACAATTCTCACCCGCGAACGAAATTTCAACCAATCAGAGCGGCGCGTCTCTATGACGTCATATGAGGAATAGCTTTGTGGGCCGATGCAGAATTCATCTACATTTTAGGGGGTAAATTATCTTGTTTACAGGCTTGTATATACCTGAAATCGTGACAATTGTTGTGGAAAATGAAAGCTATACGTTGTCACAATCTACTGTCATTTAATTTTGTCTCCTGCTTTGCCTAGTTTCCGAGTTACAACTTGTTTTCATAGACGATTCTGTCAAAATCGATTGGTGTCGTTAGGCCCTATTTGTATAATGACTGATCCAAATTGATCCCATTTCTGTGTTTTTTTACCTCGATATTTAATCATGTCATGTAAAAATCTGTTTGTATTCTCAAAACAGTGTCGGCTCATAAGTTTTCAGTGCAATACAGCAATTAATACTCCCTTGTTGAACCCGTGTTAGGTGGTATAAACCTACATGTATGTTATTTGTCATCATTCACTTGATGGTCAGTTAATGAATTTATAACAGGTATAATTAGTGGTAACACACTTAGATTACCCGACAAAGGTTCCCATTTGGCATTTCTTGTGTCTGGAGTAAATATTCAACATTATAAACATCGATCAAAGGATTAACCGATAACACGCTGATTGATTAATTACTTTTATCTTATACAGCGGAATTGTCAAAAGGTAGTGTTTATGTATGTAGATTTACTAATCTATACTGAATACACTCTGTCGTGTCGGTGTCTGCGTAAAAACAACGTCCTTCTTTCAAAGGATTAACCGGCAATACATTGACTGATTGCCCATTATTGGCTAACTAATTTACTGTTTTTAAAGAAAGGCGGACATTATGCAATTACTTGCCAGGTGTGCTATCTTGGGTGACCAATGAGACTATACACCAATACCTGAAAAGATTTATCACTTTTTCGTATATCAAACTATTAAAAGACACATCATTTGGAACAGTTTTGTGGATATTGATGGATACATTCCTCGAACAAGGTAATGGCCTGATATTGTTCTTATAACTTTAATCTGTTTTAATTTTAATATTTGCATGTTGTTTTTATTCATTTGTCGTAGCATTCAACAGAATCAATGTTTTCGCCGTGAAGTGTAATGAAACAGACAACATACACTAGGGTGTGTGTGCGAATTATGATTCCCATTGGCAAACTATAAAATGTCTAGATATTACAGTTCTGTTATAAATTCACTCTAAGTATCAGCAGATCATCTGCTTTTTATTTAGTTTCAAAATGCATACAAGTATGATAATAAACTAAT